CAAGACCCTATTTTCATTCATTTTTTTTCAATTTTTTATTTTAAGAAAACCAAAGGGATTTGTAATGGTTGCTATTTTAAACCTTCCTTAATCCCAGGAAAAAAAAAAACAAGTGACCATGATTTTGAGTTTTTCTAACCTTGTTGAAATCTTATTTATTTGCTTGCTAACTGCATAATTCTATTCTTTAATTTTTCTAAGAAATGGATGCTCTTTTTTTTTTTTCTTTAATTCAATCGTAGAGTATTGTTATGCAAATGGGTCTACTAATGATGAGCTTTGCTATTTTGCCACTCTAATTTGTTACATTCATTTGTGTTTTTGTTTTTATCATCTTCATTTGGAACTTCTTGTTATTAGAGTGGTTGCCAATATGTTTAAAAATACTCTGACTATATTTACTCAGAGCCAGATGATAGAGATATGTGATTCCATTTACTATTATCTCTCAGCTCATAACATAGTGAAGTATCTCATCTCATAATCTATTTGTTTCTCGTTACATATGTCATTGGAAAGAAACTTGAAGGTGTTTTAGTTGAATTCGGGTCCGACTTGGAGAAAGGTTATGAGACTCTACACATGCATATCCCGTGCAAGTTCAATCCAAAAGCTTGAAGAATTGCTTCATATTTTCCGAAGTCACATGCCAGCATTGTTCTTTTAAATATCTACATTGTTATCACGAGGACTGGTATATTTCTCTACTCATGTACTCGCTTCGCGGTCTTACTTGCCCCCGACACCCGAGTCCAGTATGAAAACGAGCTCAAGACGAGGGAGCCTGAAATCCTCTGGTTGTGTGCTGCTGGTAAGGGTAAGGGGCATCGTCTTGCTGAAACTACACGACTTTGGTTCTTGATGAACTATAGATTGTTTAGTAGGCTCTTGTTGGTATTTTATGCTGGAGAGAATGTGGTTTTTTAAACTCATGTCTAAGTTTCAGCTGAGTGATTGTTTGGTGAAAGTTTAAGGCTGTTAGAGATGAAATGTCTATGTGAAAAAAATATTTTATGTTATAGATTTGTTCTTTTATAAAAAAAATAAAATAAAAAATAATTAAAATCAGTCATTGTTTTTTTATAGATTTTGTTCTAAAAAAAGATTAAAAAAAAATGGTAATTGGTAATTGGGCAAAGATTAAAGGATAAATTGGTAATTCAGATTTTATCTAAATTGTTATCATGGCAAACAAACATAGGAACTAACTTTTACATAAATCCTATCTTATGGTAGTCATTGACAACAAACATGGGTCCATTCCAATCTCCACAGTATAATCTTACTACCCCGGATAAAAATAATCTTATCTTATCAAGGAAAGCAAACGTGCCCATAAAGAACCAAAGTATGAATGATTTCTTAATTGTCAACCATAGGAGAATCGATAAGTACGAAAAGAAAATAACATAAGCAATTCTACCCATAAAATTTTCCCGTTGAACTAGAACATATATCTCCACAAAATTAAATAATAATTTATATATTAGAGAAAGGACGTTATACCTACGATAACAGCTGCTCTATACGGCTTAACATCGCAGGGGATGTAGCTCAGATGGTAGAGCGCTCGCTTAGCATGCGAGAGGTACGGGGATCGATACCCCGCATCTCCATTATTATTATTCAAATTTTTTATTAATTTTTTTATAAATATATATTTCCTTATCATTATCATTAACTTTTTTAAAATATTTTATAGCTGATTATTCCCAGATAACAGAAAGTCCATCCCCAAACAACCATTACTTTCTGCACTTCGCAAATCTCGAGGCATCACACTTTTTTCGATTGAAATGGCGAAGACGACGAGGAGGCTGGAGGTGGCGTCGCCGGTGCCGGCGGACATAGACATCGCCAATTCTGTGGAGCCGCTTCACATCTCGCAAATCGCCGACGACCTGAACCTCGCCCCCCAGCATTATGATCTTTACGGCAAGTACAAGGCTAAGGTAATCCGTTAGTGTCCCCAAGCTTACTGCATATCTAAATCTCCTTGTTTATCTGTGCTGCTATTGAAATGTCTATGTGATTTGAGTTTTGCGTTTTGGATTGCTGTTGACAAAGAGGCTACTTTAGATGCTGCTGTAGTTTAGGATTTTTTTTTTTTCATCTCTTTAGTATTCGGCATTGGAGACAGTGGGTTCCATGGGGTTAGCTGTGGGAAGAGGGTCCTATTTGTAGTTCTATTATATTAATGTTTTCGATCCGGTATGCATTCGCCGAAAACTCCTGTCGATTATTCTCTGGATATAAGTCCATTGAATATTGCATTTACTGTTATCATTGTGTGTATCCAAGTTAATATTTGATGTTTATTTGTTTGTTTGGCTGTGGGTTACTGCTTAATGGACATTGGATAAGTAATTTTTTGTTCTGTTTGTGCTTAACAGGTTCTGTTGTCCGTGCTTGATGAGCTTCAAGGAAGTGGAGATGGATATTATGTGGTGGTTGGGGGAATTACTCCAACACCTCTTGGAGAAGGAAAATCCACTACTACTGTTGGTCTGTGCCAAGCATTGGGTGCTTTTCTTGATAAAAAGGTAAAGCTTGCTTGCATAGACTTGTTGTATTGTATTCTGATTTGTTAGTATATGTACCATGAGCTTATTGCGGCAGTTTATCCGTAATCTGTTGAAGTGTTTGCATCTAAATAGGACATAGGTTTTTCCTTCTGAACATGAAAAACACAAAACTTCTAGTTTATAAAATTGCACCCTTGAGAGTGAGATTTGTTGAGTTAATACCAACCTCAAGAGGCTGGTTGTCATACCATAAGGGGTTATTTCTTTTAATAGATTATTGAAGTACCACAAGCACGTAGCTCAAGTGGTAATGCTCACCATTGAAAAATTCATTGAACTGGTTTATACAATGTTCAACCCTTTTACCAGTCACTTTATTCCTTAGTTATAAAACCTTCCACCAGCTCCGCAATAACTATATTTAAAACAAAAAGATGTACAAATTTGTATGTGTTATGTTTAACCTTTTGAATTGTTTGTCGTCAACCCTCAAAGTTACTGCTTCCTTTAGGTGGTCACATGCCTCCGTCAGCCTTCACAAGGACCGACATTCGGAATCAAAGGAGGCGCAGCAGGCGGAGGCTACAGTCAAGTTATCCCAATGGACGAGTTCAATCTTCATCTAACAGGGGATATCCATGCAATAACCGCTGCAAACAACCTTCTGGCTGCCGCCATCGACACTAGAATCTTCCATGAATCTACACAATCTGACAAAGCCCTCCTGAATCGCCTGTGCCCCCCGAACAAAGAAGGTCAGAGGAGTTTCAGTGAAATAATGTTCAGGCGCTTGAAAAAATTGGGCATCTCAAAGACCAAGCCAGAAGAGCTCACGCCCGAGGAAGTCAAGAAGTTTGCGAGGCTCGATATTGATCCCGATTCTGTCACCTGGAGACGAGTGATGGATGTGAATGACCGGTTCTTGAGGAAAATCACAATCGGTCAGGGGCCTGAGGAGAAAGGCATGGTTAGAGAAACGGGCTTCGATATTTCAGTGGCTAGTGAGATTATGGCGGTCTTAGCCCTCACGACCTCGCTATCCGATATGAGGGAGAGGCTCGGGAAAATGGTGATCGGGAATAGCAAATCCGGCGACCCCATCACCGCTGACGACCTTGGGGTCGGAGGTGCTCTGACCGTACTGATGAAAGACGCCATTAACCCTACACTCATGCAGACACTAGAGGGCACCCCCGTCCTCGTCCACGCAGGCCCTTTTGCCAACATTGCCCACGGAAACTCATCCATAGTCGCCGACAAAATTGCTCTGAGACTCGTGGGTCCTGGTGGTTTTGTGGTCACCGAGGCTGGGTTCGGAGCTGATATCGGGACCGAGAAGTTCATGAACATAAAGTGCAGGTACAGTGGCCTGAACCCGCAGTGTGCCATTATTGTGGCGACCATCAGGGCTCTGAAGATGCACGGTGGCGGACCGGAGGTCGTGGCGGGGAAGCCCCTTGACCGGGCTTATGTTACCGAAAATGTGCCACTTGTTGAGGCCGGCTGCATTAATCTGGCCAGACATATATCAAACACGAAGGCTTACGGCGTGAATGTTGTGGTGGCTGTTAACAAGTTCTCGACTGATTCTGATGCTGAGCTGAATGCGGTGAAAGCTGCAGCTTTATCTGCAGGAGCTTTTGATGCTGTGATTTGTACTCATCATGCCCATGGAGGGAAAGGGGCGGTAAGTTGCTCGATGGTACATTTAGCGTCTTTTTATAAATTGTCATTCTATTAAAGGGAAAATAAAAAGACTAATATATAAATTGGGTTATCAGGTTGACCTTGGAGTGGCAGTTCAGAAAGCATGCGAGAATGTTTCACAACCTTTGAAATTCTTGTATCCTTTAAATGTAAGTATCAAAGAGAAAATAGAAGCAATCGCGAAGTCATACGGTGCCAGTGGCGTCGAGTATTCAGAACAGGTACATGTTAACATTTTAGTTAATTTTTCTTGTGCACAATCGCTCTAGATTCATTCTAAGGGATAGAATTTTGAACACTTAGAATATATGTAACTATTTTATTGTTGAAAGGTCGTGTTTGGGAAATTGAGTTCACAATATGAAATTAGAAGGTGATTTCTAATGAAAGCTTATTATTTTACCTGAAACTACTGATTTATTTATCGGCCTAGATTCTCAACTGATGAAACTCCAGGTGTGAGCCAGCAATATTCAATCTTTATTCTGAGTAATGATAATTTGTCCAGGTTTGAAGGTAAATCTAATATATAAACCTTCCATATTATTCTGCTTGGCTAAAATACTGAATAAATAACCACAAAAAAACTAATCTTCTCTGTATACTTTGGCTTGTGATGTTGAGCATCTTTTTCTTTGGTCACGTAAAATGCGCCAAGGAATTTTTCAGTACTCTGCTTTTGCACGCTACTATTCTCCACCTCTGCTTCTCTTTTAATACTTTGTTTTGGTCGATTAGGCCGAGAAACAAATAGAGATGTACAGCAAGCAAGGATTTTCCAATCTGCCAATCTGCATGGCCAAGACACAATACTCATTTTCCCACACTCCATCACAGAAGGGAGCTCCATCAGGTTTCGTTTTACCCATTAGAGATGTTAGGGCGAGCATTGGGGCAGGTTTCATCTATCCTTTGGTCGGGACAATGAGTACCATGCCTGGCTTACCAACAAGGCCTTGCTTTTATGACATCGATCTCGACACAGCCACTGGGAGGGTCATTGGTCTTTCTTGAAAACCAACGTACAAGTCGTTTCAAGTTTGTTTGCATTTCAAGACACCGTGCTTGTATAATTTTGAGAATAAATGGCCACATTTGTGGACTACATTTTACTTCTTTTCTCCTGAATTGAAGATGTATGTAACCTCTGATATGAAATTTAAGATAGTCTGATATTTGTATTCATAAATCGGCTTCTTGTATATTGGTCACGAGCTCTGAACAGTGAGATGAATTGCATAATCTTGATCAATCAGGTTGCAATTCGCGCAGAATCGCCGAAGGCCATAAGATATCATCAAATGAAAACATAAACCAATGATTCAAGTTCAAGTACCGTACTATACCAGTTGGACCACCGGTATTCGGTAATACCGGCCAGTAAGGTCATAAACACCATTTTGCCCAAAATATTGGTTTATATTAGTTTTATACAAGAAAATACAAGTTTATAAAAAAAATACCAGCCAAAATATAGGATACAGAGTACTTGCAGTATTCGATGTATACTTTTAAACAATATTAAGTGTTGCATTTTAAATTGGATGTTGGGATACTTGCGCAGAATATGACACACATTTATTAGAATAGAAAAATAATGTTATTTATATATTATTAAGTATCT